GTGTGAGATCACCCACCAGGGATGGAAACCATTTGGACCACCGTTTGACGATCGTGACCACCAGCGGCGAATCAGCGTTGTACGAGTTGCTCAGAAACGGCAGCATCATGTCCTGAAAAAGCGCCGGATAGGCGGCACGTTGAACTGCCCGACGAGCTTCAGGGAACCCTGCGAACCCTGCGAGAAGCGTGCGCGCCGAATCAGCACCCGAGGAAGCCGTGCGTTTCGACGCCAGAGCCAAGTATTCCACATAGGATGGCTGGTCCCAGAAGTGAGGAGACAGTCGATCTCGAAGATCAGCAAGGACACGGAAGGGAGCCCAGCGTTCAGCGGCCACCCGAAGACGATGGAGGTAACGAACGTGTTCAGGATGAGTAGTAAGAGCCGAGCGAATAAGCGCAGAACCACACGCAGGACGAAGAGCACGAAGCTTGGGGCCACCCCACTGGCCAAGACAGTGAAAATCCACATACCGTAGAGCGCCACCAGGCAACCGCAGAAGCCGCACCAAGCTGTGGATATCTTGTTGAAGTAGCTGCTTGGGGAGTGGTGCGAACTGTGCCACGTAGGACAACGTGAGTAGCGCTCTGGCCATGTAGTTGATTGCATTCAAAGAAGCTGGCGCAGCCGACGAAGCAAGCGCCGAGATGCGAGTTCTGCATTTATCCCACGGGCTCAGCCAAGAGCATAAGTCAGAAACGGCAGGTCCCAGCCACATGCCCAGGTAGAGCAACTTCGCTTCGATGCGAAAGGCAAGCCAGTGAGGCACCAATTGTTCCAGACCATTTCGCAATCCGGCCCTCAGATCACCTCCGAACCCCCCCGCGAGCGGGACGATAACGCACTTCGGCGGCTTGAGCTCAAGGTTGGCAATTTTTCCGCCACCGCCATGACCCGCGCCAAGAAACGCAAATCCACCAAGGCGAATAACACACCACCGATATCATCAGCACATGCGCGAAAGAGACCACGATGTTTGAGTTCCAACCCAAGTCGAAGATCTTCGAGAAACGGCGAAGTAGCAGCCGCGAACAAGCTACCAGACAACGCACATCCTTGGATGCTGCCGCACTCGATGGCGAAGAGATCCGTAGTAATCCCACCGAGCCGCCCCACAGCTGTGACAGAAGCATAAAGCGAGCAACAGGCTGAAAAGAGAGCATCAGGGAGGCGAAGCCGTTTGAGCTCCGTAAAAAGGTATTGCTGACTCAAACTGGGGAACGCCTGGCCGAAGTCGAGTGCCACCAAGATCGGCTGCTGATCCCGTGCCCGAGGTTGAAGGGGCGCAATCCTCGCCATAACGTCGAGCTCGAGAATGTTCGATGTAAACTGCCTGCCCGCGATAAAGCCCCGCTGCGTCCTTGAAGTAGTTTGCTGCGCGATCGGCGAGAAGGCCACGTTGAGAGTCGCGGAGATGACCTTCACGTCAGTATTGCGAAGGCCGAGAGTACGCACAGTGTCAGGGGAGCGAACGACACCGCGCTCGCCATCGTCTCCAACATGGCAACATTTGGGAAGAAAAGCCTGCAGCGTCGCTCCCGCTGACGGGAAGAGCGTCTGACCATCCATCATCCAGCGACAAGCCTGCCATAATGCCTCAGCTCCCTGCCCATGTGCTGCCCAAGCTACATAGGGGAGGCCGTCCACTCCAGGCGCAGAGCGCGAGGGCGCCATACGCCGCAAAGTACGCTGAAGCATCTGAGGCGAAGGAGGGGGAAATCATCGAACACGCACGGCATGACAAACTTCTGAGTGCACCGCTCAGCATGTACAGGGTACGAAGGTGGGCGAGCAGACACAGGCGCCCAATAGCTGACCAACGCGTTCAACTTCTCGGCCGGATCAGAAAGCTGCTGGTCGCCAACCTGAATGGCACGCAACGTGAGCCGCTTGCCGAAGGGGACCCAGAGCTTGGCTTTCCTTTGTGCTGCAGAAAGAGTACCAGGAGAAACCTTAGCGCGGCCTTTCCCATGAAGAGCACCCTGTAGGAGAACCGCCAGTTGTCGCTCAGCCGCTCGATGTTGTATAGATTCCACCCATGCTTGAAATGCCGCAGGATGCACCAACTGAACCAGCCCCTCCGAGGTGATGTTAACGCAGCTGTTGAAGACCTCGGACGAGTTGGCAACCTCCTGAGCAAGACGCGCATCCTGCCGCCAAATAGCGCGCGCAGCTTGCCGAGCAAAAACCAATTGGGCTTCAGGTTTGTCAATGTCAGTAACCAGAATTTGTTGAAGCGTATCATAAGCCGCTGAGTCCATGAGCACCTTGTACCTCTCCATCTGACGAGGAGGAGACATATCTGTGAGGAAACGACCATCATGGCGCAGAAGCCTGCCGAGTCGAGCGCGGAAGTCATCACAAAGATACACGAAACGCGGAACAGGACGCCGATAGTTATCACCAAGAGAGCGATGCTGAAGGTGGACCCGAAGAGCAGCATGATCCGAAATGCGCTGCTCGCTGAGGCGCTCAGGTGACGAGACCACTGCTGCGGAATGATGAAGTTGACAGGCGACCCATCCAGGCTCGGATAACCAAAGACGATCAAGTTGAGCAACAGTATGAGAGTCCTTGCAATAATGCGTAGGGTCTTCCGCCGAAATTTCAAGCATCTTGTCCAGCACCACCATCCAGATCTTCATATGCGTACGATTGTTGTTGGTCGGACGGGTCGATCGCTTCAGACACGGCTGAGACAGAAGTAGCGGCTCCGACGCTGCAAAATTGAAGTCGCCACATACAACCACCAGTCTTGACTGAGGATCGGCTTGTGCCCACTCTAAGTCAGTTGCAATAAGAGAAGATACACGCTGAACATCGTCATGATGAAGGTCATGGTTGTGCACGTTATAATGGCGAATCTCAGCTTGTGGCCCAACCAACCAGGTCTTGAGCACCCGGCCTGGGACCAGCGAGCGAGATGAGGACGCCGCCACCGATTGAGCAGAAAGCGGTACCACCGTCGCAACACCACCACGCGCATGGCCGCAGGCGTCGGTGGCGAACGAGCCGAAGACGGTAACCTCTGGAGCGATCCGCCGCAAGAAGAAGCGAAACTCGTCCAACGGTTGATGACCCTCTTGCAGAGCAAAAACGGAAGAAGAAATCCCCGCCAACTGTGAGTAAGCCGCCTTAGCCATTGCTTGCGCACCTCGCCAACGTAGTAGCGCACGAGCGTCCCACGTGCCGAAGGAAAGTTCAGAGCACTTAAGAGGGGTACTGCCAGTGGCATGATGCAGAAAGATGTCGTCGAAGATGCTAAAGCGCCCACTCAGGCGCAACCGTCGGCGCAGCGATTGGATCAAGGAGGCGACGTAGTTCAGCTCGTGACCATTGCCGTGCGGTGATCGCGGCGTCGTGCCAGAAGATCTTCGTGGGGTCGCGACCAGGCTGCGGCTGAATCCTGACAATCGGGTTCCAACTCTCTGAGACCCACCGATTTTGGCGATCGAAATAGAACTTGGCGTCTTTGAACTCCTCGCGGAGGGCTGCAACAGTTGTTTTCCCTGTGATATCCATCTTGATATGATAAGGGTTCTTGTCGGGGCCGATATGCAGCTGGGTGCTTCCCCCGCTGGCTGCAGGTATGGGGAAGCGCATCCATTGTCCTTTCCCAGGAAGACGAAGAGCTGATAAAGCGGCAGCGACCTTCTTTCCAGCGATACCCACTGCACCAGTGGACTGGATCGTGAAGAGCTTGTCTTGGTCGTCGCCCTGAATGGTGAAGCCGTCGACGCTTGCGTCCTTGAGCCACTTATCCACAGAGCCCTGAACGTCGCACTTCTTGACGAGGGTAGGAGCGACGACCTTGAGAATCGTGCCATCCACTGCTCGACTGAACCCAGGAGTCGGCTTAGGCGGAGGCGGCGACCGATTTGCGACCACCAACTCTTTGCGAAGCTCTTCGACCAGGGACTTGAGCTGCTCCATGTCCGTGGCCAGCGTCTCTGTGCGGGTGTCGATGTCTCGGACCTGCGACTGGATGGTGTCGATCTGCTGCTGTAGGCGTCTCTGCATGGCCTCGAACTCGGGTCGAAGTTGCGCTTCAAGTTGGGCCTTACATGTTTGCGGAACTTGCTGAACTGCAGCTTCGACCCCCTTGATGGCGGCCATGACAGGGTCGACGGCGGACGAGGCAGCCTTGCTGGCGGACGCGGTGACGAGCTCGATAACCTCGGTCTGGAAGATGTTGAACTTGGCCTGCAGCTTTCCGTGAATGAGCCCTTTGATATGCTCTTCCCAGCCGTCCGAGTCCATGAAGTCCTCTTCGCCCTCGCTGGAGGCACCTCTGTTGGAGCGAGAACGAGCGTCGTCATCACCAGCGGCTGCAGGCTGTGCACCAGCACGCGCATCACCATCAGCAGCAACGCTAGCACCACGTACGGCACGAGGCTTCTTCTTGCGCTTGACCACATCTGGCATGGGCGGGAACTCGAGGGCGACCGAGACTGCTCAGTCGCGGGGCGGCGACAGGCAGCAGTCAACGGGGGCGGACCCGTCGGCTGGAACAAAACTGTCGGGCAGAGGCGCCCTGGCACTGGCCGCGGACTAGCGGTATCCACGTGTTCCCCTGTGGAACAAACCATCTTGAACCAAAATGGCTACGGAAGAAAGAGGAGAAGGAGGAGGAGGAGGAGGAGGAAGATGAGAAGGTGGAGGTGGAGGAGGACGATGAGGAGGAAGAGGAAGAGGAGTAGGAGACGCACGAGGGGGTTGGAGATGGAAGACCAGCCTCCGCTCCGCCCGGCCTCCTCCTCCTCCTCCTCCTCGACCTCCTCCTCGTCCTCCTCCACCTCCTCCTCGACCTCCTCCACCTCCTCCTTCTCGACCTCCTCCTCGACCTCCTCCACGGCCTCCTCCTCCTCGGCCTCCTCGACCTCCTCGACCTCCTCCTCGACCTCCTCCTCGGCCTCCTCCACCTCCTGGACCTCCTCGACTTCCTCCTCAAGGAGGAGGGAGGACCAATCGAGGAGCCCGCGCGGGGCCCACTCGCACTGGCCTGCCCCGCTCGCCCGCGTAGGCCCGCAGGCGCGCCGCCATCTGCCCCTGCGTCGCCTGCATGGCCTCCACGCCGTCGAGGGCCCTGCGCGGCTGCGCTTCGGCGCTGGGCCCCATGCGAGAGAGAAAACTTCCTACTTAAGACATGTTCTTCTCCTCCTCCTCCTCCTCCTCCTCCTCCTCCTCCTCCTCCCCTTCCCCCCCCCTCTCCTCTCCTCCTCCCACCCTCCTCCTCCTCCTCCTCCTCCTCCTCCTCCTCCTTCCTCCTCCTCTCCTCCTCCTCCTCCTCTCCTCCTCCCCTCCTCCTCCTCCTCCTCCTCCTCCTCCTCCTCCCCCTCCTCCCTCCCCTTCTCCTCCTCCTCTCTCCTCCTCCTCCTCCTCCCCTCCTCTCCTCTCCTCCACCTCCTCCTCCTCCTCCTCCTTCCTCCTCCTCCACCACCTCCTCCTCCTCCTCCTCCTCCTCCTCCTCCTCCTCATCCTCCTCCTCCTCCACCCTCCTCCTCCTCCTCCTTCACCTCTTCCTCCTCCTCCTCCTCTTCCTCCTCCTCCTCCTCCTCCCTTCCTTCCATTATCCTCCTCCTCCTCCTCTTCTTCCTCCTCTTCTTCTTCTGTTTCTTTCCTCCTCCTCCTCCTCCTCGTCTCGTCCTCGTCATCGCCCTCCTCCTCCTCCTCCTCCTCCTCCTCCTCCTCCCTCCCCTCCTCCTCCTCCTCGTGCTCCCCTCCTCTTCCTGCTCCTCCTCCTCCTCCTCCTCCTCCTCCTCATCAATCATCATCATCATCATCATCATCATCATCATCATCATCATCATCATCATCATCATCATCATCATCATCATCATCATCATCATCATCATCCTAGCCGTTTTGGGCCCCGACCGCCGGCCGCGAGCGCGGGGGCCTTGCCTTTGCGAACGTCAAGACGGCACGCTGCAAAGGCGAGCCACATCAGCTGCCAGAATCTCCCCTTCAAGATGCCCGGCACGCCGCCATGGGTCTCGCGATCTTGGTCGCGCGAGGACGCCTGGGCGGAGTACATAAATTGGGGCAACAAGTTCAAAGGAGGAGGAGCCAAGGGCAACAAGAACTACGGTGAGGGAGGAGTTGATGCAGCCAAGGGCGCAGGAAAGGGATCTGGTGGCAAGGGTGCGGAGAACCTTGCCATGCGGAAGTGCGAGCACTGCCAGCGCGCCAAGAACCTGCACTGCAGGGCGCCGAGGCCCGACGACGACGACGACCCTCGAGCCCGTCGTCCGAGAGCCTGGGCCAACGGACCAGCCGCACTGCAGCCAGGGCCCCAGCCGATCCAGACTGGCGAGACCCTGTCGGAGTCAGAGTTGGAGAACATGGCGTCCTGCGCGAAGCGCTCTGGAGACGTGGCTGCAGCTACTCGATATCAGGTCGCGCTGGAGAGGCTTCGGACTGCGTCCAAGCAGCCCGAGGAGAAGCCCATCCAGCAAAGGGCCACGGCGGCCCACCAACGAGTTCAGTTCCTGGAGAAGAAGCTCAACGCGGCCGTCGAGCAACTCGAGAAGTGGAGGACTTGGTGTGATGAAAAGGCTACATCAGTCAGTCAGCTTTCAGTGGGGCTCGAGGCAGAGGACAAGGAACACACGCAGTTGGTCAGCTGCACCGCCAGGTGTGTCACAAAACAAGCAACAGGATGCTCCGCCTACTCCTGCTGCTTATAACGGGCCTCGCCTTCGCGACCTCATCGAAGACAAAACTGACACTATCGAGTTCACGGACACGGGCGAGATTTTCTGCACTCCAGAGGATGAGTACGAGATCACTGACGGGGACAAGCAGATCCTCCAGAAGCGAACCGACGAGCTCAAAGTCAACATCGCGGAGGCCACCAAGCAGGCCTTGGGAGGCATCATTTCCAAGATCGACGAGATCGAGCAACAACGTATCACACGCATGGCCCGCCCTGGGAAGAAGAAGAAGCGGAAAGGACCTGATGGGGCCCCAGTCGCGGGAGGCGGTGGCGACGGAGGAGCCAGCAGCAGAGATGGTGCTGGAGATTCAGGAGTGGACGGGGCTGCCGAGCAGAAGGCCTCACCATCCGCAGGAGAACCTTCAGACATCAGGGAGAGAGCTCACCGCGCAGTCACACAAGCGCCGCCCCCTGTACCGAGGGCCACGGCAGGTGCTTGATCGTGCAGGGGGCAAACGTGCACCAACAAAGCCTGCTGCTGGGCCGCTACAGCAGCAACTACCGCAGCCACCGCTTCGTCGTCTGAGCCTCCCCAATGACGGAGATTCGTTGCATTTTAGTAAGCCAGTTTTGCCACGGCTGTGCCGTCTTCCGCCCCCCCCCCCCCTGCCAGATGCTGAACCCCTTGGCGACCCCCTGAGGTCTCTGAATTTTCCAGGGCTTGAGGCTTTTGAGTTGGTCGTAGAGACGGCCAATGTGACTTCGTGGGGATCAGCCAACTCATGGCTGTTGAGGACGTCGGCGCATGTTGTGTGCCCCCAGGAACACAAGCTGATCCACGGGGGCCAGGTTTCGGAGGCCAGTGGCTGGGCTTCAAAGCACGGGTGGAAAAGTCGTTTTAGTAAAGCTATCATTGGAATTGGGTCAGGAGCGTCTGGTGTGGCGATCTTCGCCAGATCGTTCTTGGGTATGCATGACTTGGTGCAGGGGCCCGTGGTATACCCAGGCAGAGCCATAGCATGTTGGGTTCAGATTCCAGGAGGTGGGTCTATTTTGTGCATGTCGGTCTACCTGAAAGGTTCGAAAGTGATTGCAGAAGTTGGGGCCTTGGCACAGAGCACCAAGGCACCTCGCATCACAGGAGGAGATTTCAGCATGGAGCCGACCGAGCTCCATGAGAGTGACCTGGCCGAGGGCCTCGGCAGCAGGATCATCTACCCATCAGTCGAGGGCACGTGCGCCACAGCAGTGTCCGACAAGGTCCGCTTGCTCGACTACATGGTTGTCTCGGGAGGGCTAGCTAAATGTGTCAAATCCACCCGCCTTGCCCTGGAAACCGATATGAAGACCCACCGGCCAGTGCAGGCCAGTTTCTACCCCAAGCTTGCGGATATCCGATACCTCACTTTCCAGAAGCCCCCTCCTATCCCTGTTGAGATCCCTATGGGCCCAATCCCAGAGGGCCTCGCCTGGGACTCTATTCTGGACTGCTCTCAATACGGGCTCCGAATGGTTCGCAACGGGGCCCCAAAGGCCAGTATTCAGCGGCATCTGAATTACTTGTATAGACAGTGGGCCAAGTTAGCCGAGCTCGAAGTTTGCCAGTCACGTCACATTGAAGTTCCTGTAACAGGTTGTCGGGGCCGGCTGCCTAAATTTGCATGGCAATAGGCCTTGGGATTGGACAGTAGAAAGGAGGTGAAGCAACCGACCCTGTACTCCCTGCGCTGGCTGGAGAGCACCTTCCGCCTTTTTGTCAACTTGCTGCAGGAGTGGCCACAGCGTGCACAGCATGATTCTTTTGAAGAGCCAAGCTCCGTCCGTGCCTGTCCTGAGCGGAGGAGAGACCAGGACTCAGCACCCGCGCCAGCGCGCTCTTCATTGCTTCCAGGTGTTGCCAGCAGAGCTCAAGCACGGCTTCAGCAGCCAGGAGATGAAACTGGCCAAGACGTTCCGGTCGCTACGGGCTCAACAGTGTTGTCACAGCTTAGAGGTGTCCGAGGCGCCCTGGGGGACCCACCGATTGTGATCAGCAGGTACCTCCAGGGGGGCTTCAAATATTTGTACCAGTCTGCCAAGGATTTCATTAAGTTTTCGGGGGATTACACAGTCTTCGGGGGCCCAGAGGCCTTCGCGGACCCAAATGTAGGCTGCGAGATTCTAGGTGGGATCTCCGAGGAGCAGGGTACGTACTCCATAGAGGCTAATAATGAATCGTGCAAAGATTGGAAAGCTTGGCTTCTCGAGGGGGTTCAAAAATGTGCAGGGCGAGCCCACAAGTGGACGAGGTTGACTAAGGAGTGGGTCCCCACGAGCACCCTGTCAGCCTCGGGAACGGTTCTATCAGACCCCAAGTCGGTCCTCAGCAGCGAAGCTGCCAAGTTCAGTAAGCTTCGGAGGAGTAGTTCGGAAGGTAAGAAGGAACCTCAGCAAGAGTACACTCAGCCTCTGGAGTTCTTGAGCCCTCAACGCATACGAGAAGCTGCACGTATGTATAAGGCGGCATCAGCGGTCTCATTAGATGGTTTCCACATGAAGCATTATGCGTCCATGTCTGGTGGTACTTTGATGACCCTCATGTCTATGATAAGCATAACGGAATCTACGACGCTGATGCCCGACCAGGTTCGCACCATCTTGGTGCCTCTTTTGGAGAAGCCAGCTGGAGGCTGGCGACCCATGGGGCTCTCCAGCTCGTTCTACAGGCTCTGGGGCAAGTTGAGACCTCACGCTGCGCGCTGGGAGTACGAACGCTCACGCTCATACCTGGCAGCAGGCAAGTTCGCCGGAGCAGCTGACGTCGTCTGGCGACAGGCAGCGAAAGCAGAGAAGGCAGTTCGAGCACATCCAGGAGCCAAGGGAACAAAGCACAAGCAGTCGAAAGAAGTCGCGTGCAAGGTCCTTTGGAATCTCAAGAAATTCGATGAGTCGATCGATTTGGTTGAGTTGGAAAGCCGCGCCGAGTTTCTAGATTTCCCGCCGCTGCTTTACCGAGTCAGCGTGGCGGCCTATAGAGGCCCACGTTATCTTAGCATGGCCAGTCAAGTTAATGGGCCGCATTATGCTGAGAGTGGACTGACCGCTGGATGCTCTATCGCCACGTCGTATGTGCGTGTGTATGTGATCCTTACTGTAGATCGGATCTCATTCCCTCCCACGACCACTCTCGATCTATACATGGACGACTACGGCATATCCTCGATTGGAAGCGCTAAGCAGGTTACATCAGACATCACTCGTACTGCCGCCCAGCTTTTCTTGGGGTTGACGGCGGAGATGAAGTCGGCTGTTGCTCCGGATAAGGATTCGGATATATGTTCTTCTGCCAAGGTAGGTCGCGCTGTGCACGAGGAGTACGGGGGAGCTACGCTCGCTGATTCCGCCGTCAACTTAGGGGTAGGCGACGCTGTTGGTCGAAGCAGACGGCA